TAAAAAGGAAATCAAACAAACCAGTTGCTTAACTTTTCCAGCTAGGTTAATCGTTTCGGTGGCGCCATCTGTTACTATATTTTACTTTTAAAAAACTTGTTACGTTTTTAACTATTATAAAATGACAAAATGCTTAATTTTGAGAATAGAGATATGTTTTATAAAGAAAGAAAAACATCTGAACGAAAGGAAGTTAAATTATTCATTATTATGCCACGACATTTTTGCTTATATGTCATGGTGGTATACAAAGTCGACCCCCCTATAACACTGTTGATTATTCCGTTTTATATGAATTCCATGTTGTACGAGTCACTTAGATTTTACAAATACGTGTGCCGAGCTGTAAACGGCTCACGTATTTGTAAAATCTAAGTGACTCGTACAACATGGAATNATCCTTGTAAATTTGCTTTTAAATTTGCTCAAGGATCCTACATTTGCTGTTCACAGGGATTTGTGGACAAATGCCGAGAAATCTGAGGTAAAATTACACGATAAATTAGACTCCGTGATATATAAAATTAAATACCTGTACAAACTGCAATCTCCAGATAATTGCTGCAAAAGGAAATGAAAAACAAAATGGGTGTAAAATTTAAACACTTAACACCAAAACTTCTTGCGTGACGTGCAGATGAAACTAAAAACTGTGCTGCTGGAACAAATTCCGCGTGTAATTGTTAGTATTTTAAAGTGAATAATTATCAGAGCAACATTCTTCCTCAACTTAATTAAGATAAGTTTAACTTTCTTTCTCGGGACGACTCGTCTTATTAATATTTACTTTTCACTTAACTAACGGAAATGTGGTTGTATGAAGTATTGCCTCCAAAGCTTAATCAAATTAAATGTTATAATTAATTTTAATTTATTATAATTTCAAGAATGCTATCATTTTTAAATAATATTTTCTATTTACGTGTAATTTAGATTTATTTTTCGAATGTAAAATATCTAACATATTAATTTATTTGTATTTTTCTTCGAAATTTTAATATTTCTATTAATTTATTGTTTAAAGTGAAAATAGCCTAACCGTCTTTCATCAAAGCAGTTTTAAATGGCTTTACTTGGAATTGTTCCCAATATATGTTTTTAGAGTTCATAAATGTATACTAAAATCATCTTGTGGTATTTTTTAAATAATAGGCATAATTTTAATAAAAAAGAATATTACAACACCACGCGAATTTTAAAAGAAATAAAAAGGAAATCCAGCAAATCAGTTGTTTAACTTTTCCGGCTAAGTTAAAAGCTTTGGTGACGCCATATGTTACTATATTTTACGTTTTTAACTATTATAAAAATGACAAAATGCTTAATTTTGAGAATAGAGATAAGTTTTAAAAAAATTGTAAATACTAAGATCGAAAAAAAATCGTCATTAGGTCTGATCCTATTGAATGTACTGTACGTACTGTGTATTATTTTAATAATAAAGTATTACTTTAACGAACTTGCTTTGGTTTATATGTTTACGCCAACGCGATACTTCAAAGCATCAAAGTTGGGATATGCAAGCTTTACCACTATTTTTTAGAAGAAAAATTGAAATATTTATTGTACGGTACTCTGTCCATCCAAATAACCCCAAACAATTTTCATAAGCAACACTAAAACACCACGAAAAATCTATTTTCTGGCAGTTCACGTTTATTGCATCTTATAGCACATTACAGTACAATTTACAATTGTCTTATTCACAAATATTATTAAATGACGTCATAAAAGAATAAGCTTGTCGGCAGTAACTCAACGAATAAGTCTGTTTACTGCGCTATATTAGAGAACGATTTTACTGTAAAAATATTTTGTATGAATTTCATTTTATATCAATTCAGATTTTGTTCACCCTGTTTAAAGCTTAATAACTCCTGCGCTTTTCGTCAAAATTTTCTGAAATTTTTTCAAAGAGTTATCCGTATTAGAGGATTGATGCTGTTAAATTTTGATCGATAGAAGGTGGCGAGATAAGGGGAGTCGCGTGTACAGTACCTTCAAAATATATAAATTTCCACTTTTAATCCAATTTTTTATATTAAAAATATTTGTTGTAACTTAAAATAACTGAAAGTTTAGCGTTCAGTTTTTACTAATTTAGAATTCTGGAATTGAATTTTATAAATAACAAACACTTAACTAAAGTACTCTGAAAACACTTGTTTGTTTAGTAACATTAGGGACTGACGCAGATTACGTAATGTGTAAATCACTATCGGCTAGTTCTTGGTGCGTAATAACGGCATCTGTGCCATAAACCCGACAGAACGAACAGACTGTGTTGCCTATTCTGTATTTGGAACCAAAGAAAACAACGTCGCTGCACCCGTTACCGGACATTTGTAGAACTGCGCGATCGGTGATGATGGTCCACAGAGGAAGGCTAGGCTGAACACGCAAAATTTCAAGGTTTTGCTGCATTCGTCGAGGATCCAAAATTTCGTTTTCGACATTCAAGAATAGTAGCCAAAGCGTGCGCATTATTTCTTTAAAAATTCTTTTTTGTAGCAGTCGTAGATGATCGCTCTTCTCTTTTAGAGTTCGGACATAAAACGATCTGTGCCTAGTTTTACGTAAATACAGTACTATTTTGCAACTCACTATAAGTACACTACTAATATTTTGAAGCATTCGAGTAGTTAACGATGCTATTTTGTTAACTTTTGATAAATTTACGATTATAAGAATATTGTAAGCAAACGAAAATGAAAATAACTAAGACAATATCTCATGTATTATTATTCTTTTTATTGCAGAAATGTCCAACAGTTGCTGCGAGATGCTGAAAAACAAATACTAAACCTACATGAAATCCTTTTTGTGGGAAGGCAAGAGGAACGATTTTCCATTAAAGGATTATTTCATAAAATTGACTGTACAGAAGGCAGATTTATTCAGAAAGAATAGCGGAGAGAAAATAAGGCTAAATGAGAAGTTTTCAATACAACAAGATGGACACCAAACTATTTTAGTGACAGGCGATCCCGGTTATGGTAAATCTACTCTGTGCAAGAAAATTGCGTACGATTGGGCATCCACGAATTACCTGAAACACTTTCAATTAACTTTTATTGTAATTTTACGAGAATTAGACGATAGAAGTGTAAAGTATGCATTACTCGATAATATGCATGAATACTCGTCAATAAATAAAGATTGGAAATTACGTTTTAGGCAACTGAATATTTTGGTGATTTTGGATGGATTCGATGAAGTTGTAGAGAAAAATCAAATTATAAAATTTGTAAGGGAAGAATCTTTCGATATTTCTCATCGAATGACAATTGTGGTTAAGAGTCGACCTCACGCAGCGGAAGAGATCAAAGAGGACATGAAGATGAGATTTACAATAGAAGGGTTTTCTCCAAAACATCAGAAGAAACATATTCAGTTACAGTAATGTTTAGAGAAGACAAGAGTAAAGCGAAGGAACTTTCTTATATACTGAAAGATGTCGACTTTTACGAAGAAATATCAGAATGTCCCCTGATTCTGCATATGTTGTTCTGTTTTCATCAAAACGGAGAAATAAAAAAAAACTTGTGACAATGACAGATTTATACATCCGAATATTCTCCCTTATAACCGTACGTTATGTTAGAAAATCAAATCAGCAGGGCAAGTTTAAAAGAGGAAAATAGTTTGTGGGAGAAAATTTGCTACTGAAATTCGGAGAAGCACGAAATAGCTTCTCAGAATATATCACCTCTGAACGTTTGACGTGTTCTTTTCCGAAAGAAAATGAATACAATTTTATCATTGGACTACACATTCTTACTCTCGATTCCTTTTCTAAATGCGATAATGAAATTCAATAAAATTTTCTCTATCGCACATTTGGCGAATTTCTCTCGGCTTTATTATGGTCTAGCGGAATTGTTTGAGTTCCAGATTATGTTACTAAAACGAAATTTATATTTTTATACGGGTTTGATAAGGATAAACCTTTACCCGAATAGTATTTAATTAACATTTGTAGAAAAACAAATGTTTGCACCTCAATTCACAAACAAATCAAGTACATACCAAATGGAAACAATTTTGTTTTCATTTGACAGTAATATTTCATTCTTATAAATACGTTATTTATTTCCAAAAGCTGTTGTGTTTGTTCAAATTCAAAAAATTATACATCTATTTAGGTGAGAAAATGGATGAATACGATGAAACTGCGAATGAACAATATATGTACAGTACTACTTTAAAATTATATATATAACGTTTTGGGGAATGGTCTAATTTCTATTCATGAAATTAGCAATATTTTTGAAAGCCGCAATGTCCGAAAGTGCAAAGAAATATATTTGAATTTAATTGTTGGGGCGCTGTATTTTTGATAACAATAATTGACATAAAAATTACAAGCATTATACTACTGTACTGATAAATAATGTAAATAAACCCTGTTTTTTATTCTTAACAATTATTAAGGCTTGAATATGTATACCAAAGAAAAGTGACTATCAGAAAAGCAGCCATACACGCGGCAATTCTCTATTATTATTATTGTTTTATTAGATTGTTCATCTAAAGCACTTATTCAAGTTGGTAGAAAGCGAAAAGAACGATTGTTTAGACGCTAAATTTATAATTCATTTCTTCATTTCGATAAGTAAATAAAATAATTTTGAGTAATTGATACACGTTCGTCAACACTTTTTGTGTTTTCTGCATCGAGAGCCACTTTAGAATTTTCCACGTGCAACAAATTAAGAACTGGTAAACACTCCGAGACCCACACTTTTTTGGAAGAAGCTTTCCGTAATTCTGAAAAAAAAAAAATGTTTTAACTGGAAACGTTATATTAATAAGAAATATTAAAAATAATTATAATAATTCATGACACTTCTCTGAACATGACACCAAGGTAAAAAAATTACATTTAACTTATCTACTCTTATCTATTATGTTTTCAGAATATTTTGTCAATAGATGACACCACGTAACAGTACATTATCAATTTCCTGTGTATTACGCAACAGTCGCGCTCTCAAGGTTGGATGAGTGCCTACAATGCTAGGGTGTTGCGATTGTTACAAACGAGACGTCAGTAATATTGTTTACACGGTGTTCATTAATTAACACAGGTAACATATTCTATTCGCTTTAAACTCGGAGTGATGTTATTGACGTAGCACTATGATTGTAAAACAACGGAGTCGTCATCATCGTACGTCTGACGTCACTGGGAAACTACCAGTGACGTTGAACTTCGCACATGTTAGCAATTGAATTGATGACCCGTTAATTAAACGAAGGTTTCTAATCGATCCAAATGGGACGTAAATCTTACAAGAAAGGATTTTAAGTGGATTTTTAACAGAATCAAAAAATGTAAGTTATTCATAATATTTTTAAAATCAGGTTATAAATTAAAAATTACTAATCTTTCAGTAGTTATTTACGTAGTAGATTGCTTAACGTTATGTGATATTTATAGTTGTTATTTTTATCGGAGGCAGGGGGCAAATTATCTGTTAAATTCGGCAAAAAGTGGTGAAAATTCAAGAAATTGAAGAACGTTAGTCAGACCGACAAAGGAAAAAAACACACATAAAAATGGTCCTCGTGTTTTTATTTATGTAAAGTTTCGGAATATTCAATCACTTCGTCCCTCTTAATATAAATTTAGCCGTATGCCAGCAATTACTGTATTAAAATGAATAGGTTACTTTAATAATTAAGGGATAAACTTTATGAACAAGAGCAGAATACGTTTGTCGTTTACATTTTTCTGCAGATAAACATATATTTTACACAATAATTTGACTAGTGTTATATTACTTATTCTGTAAGATCTTTAATAATTGTTATTCTATATAATTTTATATACATATTTTATAATTAGTTCACGGATAACCAAACTTACTCATACATGGACTCTTTCAAAATAAATATTTTTTTCATCAACCTCTTTAATATTATATACTATATATTAAGCAGTATTATTAATAGATATTTTCCTACATTTATCTAAGAGGAGAAACACTAAAAAAATTTTAATACATTAAAAAACTGTAATTCTTTTTATATTTCCAAAGTTTTATCGATCCCTAACTGGCCAATATCAACCCTGTTAAAAACCCTGAATTGTTGCGATATGTATTGTATTTATTCTAACGATATGAAGTGTTAGATGTATTATCAGTTATAGTCAACGTAACAAGGAAAAAGGTGTCCTCACTTGGAAGCATAATCAGCACGTTGCTGGATAAAGCAGTTTTAATACAGATATAGATGCAAGAAAATACTTATCCCATCATTGGCTCGCTTACTTACTTCCCATGTAAAAGTGCCCAATATTTTGTCAGCAATTCTCGCTCGAATAATTTTTTTCTATCAATATTTACCTCTATACATTACTAAAAATTTTACTAACTTTCCTCAAACCTTACACAAATAAAATGAAAATTATATTTATTTATTTTATTAATTTTTCATATGGATATATTACTTTCTCTCTGAAACGATGCTTACTTATTTATTTAAGTTATTAATTAAAATAATTTAATATTTTACTTATATAATTAGGCAAGTGATAAGATGCTGGAACATGTAGATATCTGTCAGGAAGTTCTAAATGGTAAATAAGTTTTTGTGTTTGATATTTTATATTTTAATTAATATCTTAAATTACACTTTTTTTCTTTTTTTTTATTAAAAACTGTTCTCGTTGTTAGTTTTTCTAGAATATTTCCATTATTTTAATTATTTCTAAATTATTGGTCATAGTATCATTTAGCCCTGCACATCGTTTCTTCGTCCAGACCCACAATGAGGGCGACCGGATGGAGATAATCGGGGCCCGACATATCCGGACAGACCACCTCAAAAAATTTTCGGTGGTTGTTTTTCGGGGGAGAGGTTTTTTGTCCTCCAGTAGTCCTCCGGTATGAATAGCACTTGTCGAAAGCTGGGCTGGAAACGATTATTGTAAAATCTTTAAGCGTTATATACATTAAAGGACTGTGGAATTCATCTGTGCTGATGATCGGAACCCAAAGACTCTTTAATTTCCTTTTCAGATTCGGTTTATACATTTACGGCAAAGCGAGAGGTGGGCGTTCTGCCGAGGGGGATTTTTTCCGGGAGGACTTACTACGGGAAACTTCACCCTATTTAAGTGCTACGGATGTGAAGTACACGCAGAAAATACTACGTGCCTGTTGGAGAGGTGCTATCCAAAATATGGATATAGCAAAATCGAGGCAAAAGACGAAAGGCAAGTATCCGGTCGTCTCTGAGAGAGAGACGAGAGACTAGGGTTTCGCATTATCCGGTCTTTTGCTTATCTTGGGATTTCGGGGAAAAAGTAAACTGCTTACTCAACACAAAATAAACAAATGAGTAAATTTTTAAAAAATTTGCAGTATTTCTCGGAATGAGAAGAATTTCCCGGGTTAAAAAACAGTCCGGATCCCGGGCTTCCGTTGGAGAAACCCTACGAGAGACGATGACCAGAATACGGCTTTAGGTTCGTCTGAGGGCTTATGAGTTATTAACCCCGTTAACAGGGCAGCTTTCACAAGTGTTATCGGTGCAGTCAGATGTGTAGATAGGAACCTACTTCCATGATGGTGTAAAAGCACAGCTCTGTGGTAAAATTCTGTGTTACGTAATAAAAATTTAACTAGAAGATTAGGTTCTATTTTGATACTACCACGTATATAATACTTACTTGGTAATAATTTTTGAATAATTAATTGCATATTAATTTCAGCAGAGAAATGTAACCAATATCCAGTAATACTGAAGAAATGTACAGACGTTCACATTGGTACGAAAATAGAAATCCATTCAGAACAACCGCAAACAAGTTACTTAAAGGAAGAAGATGAAGTACAGAATGGTAAGAGTTTACACTTATAAAGTTTATTGGAAAACGTTATACTTTAAATTGATTTTTTTACACATAATTTTATTTCACACGTCGTAATATAGCATAGAATATTCTATAGAAAAAATATAAAATATATGGCAGAAATGAGCAAAAACAATAGATATGCTTATTAAAACACTGAAAAACACCAGGTTTGACGTACTGAAAAGTGTCAATGATGTCCTCTTTTATTTGTTTTTTATTATTTTTTCCAATTTAAATTTGTTTCAGTTAGAAGTTCAAACACAGTCACGAATCAGAAAGTTTGAGTGAATCAAAAGGTTGATTTATCGTTAAATATTTTCATATTTATATTTCAATTTAGTTGATCTCTCCTACGTGCATTCATTTTGGCTAGATTTATATGAATATATGTTATATAAAGCATATTGCATAGTTTACGATTAAGATAACAGAACTGAGAATTTAATATAGCCTAATTTTTCGTCAGTAGAATATGTTACTAATTAGACACGTCCAAACCTTTAATATAACTAAAGGAACTTGACATTTGTAGAATAGCATTGCATTGCCAATGATATTCTCTTACAATCCACTAAAAGTATCGTTACGATATACGAGACAATGGTGCATTATAGTCCAGTCGAATTTTAATTTGGGAGACCGTGNACGATAAAATCATTCGTTATCATTTTTTGCATATCACATTTCGTGAATTTCTTGTAGCTTACGCTATATACAACGATTTTTCTAATTTTTCAACTTGGATCACAGATCAAATATTGTTATTTTTATTGGGATTGTTTGGTAGTGATAAATTTCCCAAAAGTTTTCTGTGTAATTTAAAAGAAAAAGTATTCACTCCGAATTTCATGCTTCGAGCTCACAAAGAAATCAAACTAAGGGAAAACTGGGAGGAATTTTGTTCAAATTCCAAAGTAAAATTTTATGATATAGAATTAAATGAGATGAAACAATTATTGAATTTGTATCCATTTAAACAGTTGTTCTTTTGTTTCTCCGAATCTGAGTTTGACTACGAAAACCACAAGAATGAAATTTTTCAGTTTTTTAACGATTTCAGTTTCCCAAATGGTCTAAAAATTTACCTTTTTCTTATTAATATGACAACAGATAGGGATTATTCACACGATATTCGAGAGTCTGTTTCGTGTATCATCGACTTCTTTCGTAACATCAGACCAATCGATTATGAAATTTACTTTATTGGTATATATAATTTTATCGATATATTTCATTGCTTCAGAAATGTTAATTATTCTTTGAATTTAACTGAGGATGTTCTGAAAGAATTGCGTATTGATGAAGGCGAAGAACTGATTGCATTGCAAACTCAAAACACAAAAGGAACGTTTAACAGTTATTTCTTGTCGTTGGAACAGTACGAAACTTTACGTGATCGCATGAAAATTTATCCAATTAGAGAGAAGAATTCAAAATGCGTTGTCATTTAGATTAATGTAATAAATTACTTTATACCTGTCTATTTTTAGAAGAAACATTGAATTGTCGAGGAGGATAAAGGTGTCAGGATTAAGGTGACGTAGCGAGGGGGATTGGAAAGAAAATCGTATTATCTGACCGCCGGTCCTATAAGAATTCAGATATTTCGGGACTCCTGTAGCACTTCAATCTTACCTTCCACTACAGCTGACATTCTTCACTGGTTATATCGGTGCTAGAAGACAGTGCCTAGAACTTTATCTATTTTAAATGTGTGATGACGAATTCCACACAAAAATTATTTTTTTTTATTTAATTCCTGGAGTAGAATGGAGACTTGGGGCTACTACCACATACAAACACCATTCACGTGCGATGTGTAGTTTTGGCGGAAAAGTGAAATATAGGGACATACATGTTCATTTATATATATATATATATATATATATATAGATATAGATATAGATGAAGCTTAAAATTAGTTTTAAACTCTAAATTTCCTAAATGCTATACTCTCCGTTGTTCACAGTGCCTCGATTGTCCTAACTGAATAAAATTATTTAACATAGGGAATGACCAGTAGTGTTTTTCATACTTTATTCATGTATGTATATTAACTACGCACCAGTTTCCTATAGAAAGTGGTCGCGGGAGGAAGCCTGATTGGTGGGTTACTTATGTGTTACACGGTTTCCTTCCATTAATCCAATGCTACGCATCCCTCTTCTTTTTTGAACAGTTTTTAATTCAAAATTTCAATAACATTCATATATAATTGTCATAACAGTGGTCGGCATTGCGTTAAAATATTTAGAATATTTATCTTGAAACTTTTCACTAATTTTTACTCATTCTTTTTTTATTTATAGAAATGTACGTCAATTGCAGCCAGAAATTGAAGAACAAGTACAAGACATACTTTGCTTACATGAGATCTTTCTTGTGGGAAGGTAAAAGGAACGACTTTCCATTAAAGAATTACTTCGTAGACTTGACAATACAAAAGGCAGATTTATTCGGAAAGGAAAGAGGAGATAAAGTAAATCTAAATGAAATATTTTCTAATCAGGACGACGAACATCAAACTATTTTGGTGACAGCACATCCCGGTTATGGTAAGACCACTCTGTGCAGGAAGATTGCATACGATTGGGCATCCACGGATTACCTGCAACATTTTGACTTAACGGCATGTATTATTTTAAGAGAGTTAGGCGATAGAAGTGTAAAACAAGCATTATTCGATAACTTGCACGAGAATTCGTCATTTGATAAAGATTGGAAATTACATTTTAGGCAACTGAACATTTTGGTGAGTTTGGATGGGTTCGATGAGATTGTAGAAAAAATAAAGTAATGAAATTTATAAGGGAGGAATCTTTCGATATTTCTAGTCAAATGACGATATTGGTAACCAGTCGACCTCAAGCAACGGAAGATATCAGAGAAGACATGAAGATGAGGTTTTCGATAAAAGGGTTTTCTCCAGAATATCAGAAGATATGTATTCAGTTAATGTTTAGAGAAGACGAGAATAAAGCGAGAAGTCTTGTTGAGAAAGTTGAGGAAGACGAGTTCTACAAAGAAATAGCCGAATGTCCTCTGATGCTGCACATGTTGTGCTGCCTTTTTAATAATGCAGAATTGGGAGAAATTAAAACCACAACGGATTTATACATCCGAATGTTTACTCTTGTAACCGAACGTTATGTTAGAAAAACAGATCAGAATTGCAAGTTCGAACGAGGAAAACATTTTATGGGAGAAAATTTGCTACTTCGATAGAAAACATTATTTCTAAAACTTAATTCGATCACATCAGAGGCTTTAATAAAGTTTTTTCCAAACGAAGATGAATATAATTTCATCATTGGATTGGACATTCTTGCAGTGGAATCTTTTTCACAATACGATAAAATCATTCGTTATCATTTTTTGCATATCACATTTCGGGAATTTCTTGTAACTTACACTATATACAACGATTTTTCTAATTTTTCAACTTGGATCACAGATCAAATATTATTATTTATATTGGGATTGTTTGGTAGTGATAAATTTCCTGAACGTTTTCTATGTAATTTAAAAGAAAGAGTATTCACTCCGAATTTCATGCTTCGAGCTCACAAAGATATCAAATTAAGGGAAAACTGGGAGGAATTTTGTTCAAATTCCAAAGTAAAATTTTATGATATAGAATTAAATGAGATGAAACAATTATTGAATTTGTATCCATTTAAACAGCTGTTCTTTTGTTTCTCCGAATCTGAGTTTGACTACGAAAACCACAAGAATGAAATTTTTCAGTTTTTTAACGATTTCAGTTTCCCAAATGGTCTAAAAATTTACCTTTTTCTTATTAATATGACAACAGATAGGGATTATTCACACGATATTCGAGAGTCTGTTTCGTGTATCATCGACTTCTTTCGTAACATCAGACCAATCGATTATGAAATTTACTTTATTGGTATATATAATTTTATCGATATATTTCATTGCTTCAGAAATGTTAATTATTCTTTGAATTTAACTGAGGATGTTCTGAAAGAATTGCGTATTGATGAAGGCGAAGAACTGATTGCATTGCAAACTCAAAACACAAAAGGAACGTTTAACAGTTATTTCTTGTCGTTGGAACAGTACGAAACTTTACGTGATCGCATGAAAATTTATCCAATTAGAGAGAAGAATTCAAAATGCGTTGTCATTTAGATTAATGTAATAAATTACTTTATACCTGTCTATTTTTAGAAGAAACATTGAATTGTCGAGGAGGATAAAGGTGTCAGGATTAAGGTGACGTAGCGAGGGGGATTGGAAAGAAAATCGTATTATCTGACCGCCGGTCCTATAAGAATTCAGATATTTCGGGACTCCTGTAGCACTTCAATCTTACCTTCCACTACAGCTGACATTCTTCACTGGTTATATCGGTGCTAGAAGACAGTGCCTAGAACTTTATCTATTTTAAATGTGTGATGACGAATTCCACACAAAAATTATTATTTTTTATTTAATTCCTGGAGTAGAATTCTTCAGGAAAGTGCGTTGTCTAGGTATAAGTTTCTAATGTTATATTTTTGATGTGAATAAAATGTTTATTATTTTTTAATAAAATACATAATTGTTTTAATATAAGACAGACTGTACCATTGCCGTAAGTAAGCTCATTAATTATCTTACTGGTAGACGTCACAAAGCGAATTAATTAAATATAATTTATTTGCGGGTGTTCATACGAAAATTTAAAGAAAATAGGGAATAAAACAAAAAAATACATGTATGGAGAAAGTAAGGAACTGGTATGCAATATAACGCTAATGTAATGTATATAAATATAGCATGTTTATACATATATATACAGAAAGAGTTTTATTTTAGTTAATTTACATACTTTAAAATAAGTCAAAAATACGTTTTTGATACTACGTAACCTTCAATCATAAGATCTATTTGATACACAATTCGACAAAGACGATTTATTTTTCACATAAAACATATTTTAAAAAAACTGAATGAAATAATAATCGAATTACTGTACTTCAAAATTCCAATTAAAAATGCGGATAATTTTATATCAATTATAAATTTGTAAATTTAAAACCGTTTCCTTCAACTTTGGTGTTGTACTAATTAATTAATAACGGTAATGAATAAATTAATTCTTTTGTATAGAATAGTTAAAAACACATTTAAAATAGAAAATTTCTTGAAATATTTATCTATTCAAATCCAAAAATAAATTACAGTAATATATATACAACAAGCAGATGAGCTGGTTGTAAATACATTACTGTAATCGTACAGAAAATTACCCTTATTACATTATAGCCAATTTCACTCATTTTCACTGGGTGCATGAATTTGTTCTTTTTCTTTCGAGACTAATTAGAGAATTTTTTCATGGTCTAAATATATGTTCGATTTTCTGAAAGAAACGAAAAAAACAGCATCTAAAATAGTACAGTAAAGCTGAGTTACTTAAAATAATCCTTAACCCTCTCCCACACGGAGATAATTTCCAAAAATTCTTTTTTAGTGTGCATTTTCATGACGTATCCTGTGTACCAAATTTCATCTTTCAATTCCTCACCATTTGGGCGCTGCGTTTATTATTATTATTATCATTATCATTATCAACCCATCTCGATTATATTATAATATTTAAAATATATATATACTATAATATAATGTAAAAGAACAAAATTATAAAATAGATAAAAAGGAAAAATAATAATAATAAAGAAAAAATTACATTTACAATGTCAGTTCTTTTATTGTATCGGCATTATGCAACTATTCTGTAAGTTATTCTCGATGAAATGTTTTCATGCTGTGGGTAACTTTGTGTGTCATTCTTATAATTCATACATCGGTCAAAAAACTTATTTATATAAATTTCAACTTTTTCCAAATTCATCACTAATGCTGATGAGTTTACTGGTTTTATATTTCAAGCTTCCTCCCTTTCTATTACTGATCCTTCGCTTTGTGTCATTCCAGACAAAGTTGTACAATATTGCCCTTTCTCTATGTTATATATGTTCTTTAAGACGTTTATAAAGGTTTCTGAATGTAATTCCTATGTATTTTTTCTCCAAACCCAATCGTTCATTTTTATACGGGATTCTGTGGTACTCTAGCCTGCTTTCCTTTCATTGAGTTTATCCTTATCGCTTCTTAGAACGATATAAATGGTTGGCGCTCTTTTGAAAAGTAACTGGAAATCTTTGTACTTCGCTATTTCACTCACAACACCAGTCATGTTCTCGTTATACATACATTTAGTTATTTTGTTCTTTTTTTGTTATCATTCTCTGTCTATTCTGCGTATAACCTCATCAAATTTTCAAATACAGCAGTTCTATATCCTAACGATACAGCAATGTTTTTAATTCTGTCCAGCTTTCATCCTCTCATATATGTTGGAGCATTATATGAAGGTACTGTACTTCTTATTAGTGCCCTTAATGCCGAAAGTTTATAAACATAGGGGTTATAATACGTAAATATACGTAAATCGAGGTTATTTTTATATAACAACAAAAAAGTTCTACAGATCTGTTAATGTTTAAATAAACATTTAAGAAAAGAATACAGACACAACATTAATGAAATCAAAATATTTGTAAGGTTATGTAGATTATTTTAACATAGCGTTAAACATTATGTTAATATATTTGTATTATTATATATCATATCGAACTTAAAATACCATATCGAACTTAAAATACCATATCGAACTTAAAATATCATATCGAACTTAAAATAATGAACTTAAAATACGGGGTTATTACGGTAGTAATAAACCGTGTAAAAATTAATAAAATAAAACAAATGTCCACTAATGCTCAAACCTCCCCCTTGTCTCAGTTTGCATTTTCTCGACGGTGAAAGCGACTCTTTCCCGTGATTATTTGACCTCCCGGCAGTGCACTACCGTTTTAATTAATATCGGAACTAACGGCCCAAGGATTCAGTAGTCGCCTGCTCATTCAATATAGAACCTTGCGTTTTCTTATGCGGAATACCATCATCTCCGATACGGAATAACATCGATCCCAACGGGAGTACGTCCCCGCACCTGGAACAATTCGCCGTCGCGGCTTCTGTGTCAAACGAGACACGATGGAGCAAGTTCTGACGAGGCACCAAAGAGGTGCCAACCCTCCAGTAACAGTATATGTCTTTATAGTATAAACTGTTGTCATATTAAATGTTCATGCCATTATTTCCGATGATATATTCGACTTATAAGACACAATCGGTGACTACAATCAATTTCTAAAAATTTGTACAAACAAAGTCCATCAATTGGTTTATACGTATGGAATTAAAGGTCCGGTTACCATTGAGAACAAAATGATTTCAATGTAGTAAAGCGAGTTATTCTAGCAGTCAATTGTAAAAGAATAAAAGAATTGTTTGCAAAAGTTCAAGAACATTTTAGCATAAATAATAATCTTATAAACATTGATAAAGTCTGGGGAAAGTTTCTTCAAGCTTGAAAATTGAGCAAAAATTTTCCGACTGGGCTGCTTTAAATAGCAATTGATTGCGTTAAAATTAATAATATTTAAAGTGAAAACTGGAACAACTAATCATTAAAACCGTGGGGTAAAACAAGTAAAATTGTAAAAATAAAAATACAACGTATTTGTTTGCAACGCATAGAGTTTGCACCTTTTTATACGTTGTAACCAATAAACACAGTTAAAACATTAAATCCTTAAAAACCGATAAAAACAGGTCTGCAATTTTCAAATTCCATACCTATACAACTTCAGAGTAGTTCTTTGCACTTGGCAGTTGCAGACAGAAGAACCTTGCATTTGCTGCCACGATAAAAGCTATCATTGCATCAGTCTTTTAGGGAGAGGCGATTCTTGCACTTCGGGATACGAAGAGGCGCTGTAAAAACGAAGTAATCAGAGTAAATGACTTTGTTCTTGTGTTTTGTTCGTTTTAGGCACCCATTTTTCCATTCGGCTTGCGTGCTATTTTTTTTATGAATTTCATTAGGCACGTTTATTTACGGCCAGTAATCATGTGCAATGTCACTTTTACTTTGCCGTATCTCGAAATCGAAGTCATAGACATCCATTTTTTATTACTTTTTTGAATCCCTCATTGTAATTAATGTGAAATGGCAGTTTCGTCTAAATCGGAATAAAGATTTATATATAAAAGTGCCGCGGAACTCGAACAGTTTGAAATTCGAACAAATTCTCGGAAGAAATTTTGCCGCAAAAGCGAACTTTTCTTGACATTCGAATACAAATAAATATAGCCATACTGTATGGTGCATGATGAATGATACGAGTAGGCGTGATGCTGTACTGTTGTTACATTATTCTTTAAGATAAAATTGCTTAGCTTTGGTTTATTTATTTACGACAATGCGTCAAATTGGAGATTTTCCGAAAGAGATCTTTATAAAAACCTGGCCCCTATTTAGGTATTACAACGTGAAAAAAATCTGAGAAACTTCGTGTGGGCATTCCCTTGGCGAGGCGCAAATCCATGACCAACTACCACTGTTTAATGATTTTTATCCATTGGTAAACTCAGAAAATTGCTTTGAAACTCAAATGCCCTATAAGAACGAATTGAAGTCGGGTTACGTGTTATCATTTTATACTTATTTTCAAGACAATAGGAAAAATATACTCTAGAAGATAAACGGGTAATCTTGTAAATAACAATTAAAACAATAAAAAATTCTTTAAAATTAAAAAATATATATTTACACTTCTATCAATCTGCTTTAGTTTACTTCTTTAAATAAAAATATGTTTCATATTAGTAGTAATTTAGTTATTGCTAAAAAACAGTATAAAATAAAAAATAATTTAATTTATTCAGTCAATTTTATCTTCAAATTATTCAGACAAATAAGAGGAAAAAATATTTATTGAAATTTCATACAGGGAATATATTAAGAACAAAAATTTAAAATAAAAATTATTCATTATATCAATTAATTGTAACGACTTTATATTAAAAAAAATGTATAATAAAACAAAATAATAGACCTCAATATGTCGATGCAACTTTTCACTCCTCAGACGAACAATTGAAATGTAATTTGAATATATGAAGTGTATAACTGATGGGACCGTAGGATCGGTAAAGTGCATAAAGACGTTGCTCTTTGAAATTATAGAACTGATTAACAACATTACCATATTTTTTTCTATCAACATTTATAGCAATGTATGGAATTTCCTTTTCGGTTTTATTTGACAAAAAAGAAATCTGTACTATTTTCAAATCTTCCAAGCAATAAACCCTGCCATAAGCAACGAATGCATATTCCATCCTGCAATTTCCAGCATCAACAGTTTGCTTGGACAAAATTTCTAAGTTCTCTGGATCGATTTGAAGCGCCTCGTAAATTTCGGTAATACCATGACCTATAAGGTCAAATACCCAAATATTGTCCTCGTCTATGCGAAAGAATAAGTAATCAATTTGTGTAATAGGACTGATTATTTATCCTAGTTTCGGTTCCAAAGTCTGGAGGTTGTGTTTGAAAATTCTGTGATCAAAATCCTATCGACCGTAATAAATTCCATTGTATACAATTCCCCAATCTGTCGATATGTCAGGCAAACGAATTTCCCTCAGAATTTTATAACTTCCGTTTTCATTTAATCTGTATTCTTTTAAAGAAGAATATCTATTTTCCTTCAGCCAAATGTTCAGATTTCCTTCAGAATCCTCTTCAAATTGTGCGATATCTAGTCTTAGGCTCCCATTCCATCCCCAGCTCATTCCATTCCCATATATTGGGAATGGAATGATCTGGTGATCTGTAACGTTGTCCAGAATGCAATCTGAAAATAAAAATATCAAATCAATATTTATATTTACAGAAAAAATTCAGATTTGAAATGTTTTAATCAGCTTTTACTACAATATGATACCACTTTAATAATTCTAAAAAGAAAAATGCTTAATATTAAAAATAGAAATGCTTCTTGAAAATTATTACAATTTTTAAGCTCATTTCTACCTTTATATTAAATGCTAATAACGAATAAAATTTTCATCAAATGTGACCCCACTGAAGCCATGTTCTTTTCTCCGCATTCCTTGATCTCTAATCACCAAAACTCAGTAGTATTAATCAGGGGTGGATCTAAGTTTTCAAGGTTTAAGGTTTACTAAAGTCCAATGGAGCCTCATTTTTTCCCTAAGATTTATAATTTTTAAGTTAAGGTTTAAAATTCGCTTTTAATTACATCAAAATCAGAGTTGAAATATATTGATTTATGAAATGGTATTGAATGTCAAACTTTATATCTCATATATATAAAAACATGAGAAATAATGAAATATTTACATTGTTTAATTCCCGACTAATTACGTTTTGAACTTCAACTCTTTCCGCTTCTACTTCCAATTTTAGTTGACTTAATCACCAATTTCCGTTCGTTTTATATTTCTGATAAAGACTCCATCTCACGGAAGAATTAACTCAAAATTTAAAATTGAAAGTAAATGTAAAAATAAATTATTAATTACGATTTATAACCATTTTAAATCAGTTAGAGCACGATTAGGAATGTTTGGAACCTGTCACTCGTGGCTTCTTGTGGCAATACACAGCCTTTGTTTTGTATTATTGTTGTAAAATGAGTTTCCTTAATAATACAATTTTAATTTACTTAGACTTTATAAACGACTTTATAAAAAAGAAAATGACATTTCTGGACTAGAAGCATTTTGAAACATCTAGAAATGCAAACAAGATGATATTACTTCGATAAGTAAAAAACAGAATAACCTATAAAGTAAAATTTTATCTTTACTACTTCTTTATTTTCGAACAATGAAAACATGGCACCCCTCTGATGCTATGCTTAATTACCAAAGCAAATGTATACTCTATTAAAGTTTATTAAATGTATACAAAATAAATATTTATTAAATACACAACCGAAAAGAAGAACAAAAAGAAATGACTTTTCTTACGTCTACTTTCTTGTTTTTTCTTTTCTTCAGAATCATCCTTTTTCCCTCCTGTTCTCCTGTTAATACAAACAATTTTCCATGATTTGTTATTTCTTCAATATCAAGATTTAAAAAAATTAATCGATGAATATAAAGTGATAACAAAACGTATTGAAATACCTCAAAGTGTACTCATGTAAATTGTAACTCTAAATTTAATTAAAAAATTGCACAAAAAACTTAATTGAAAAGGTTAGTTAATTAGTACATTTTATTATTTTTCCTTGTTAATTTACGTTAAATTAACGGTGTGAAAGAGGTTAATTAATTGCATATCTAATATAAGATAATATATGTATATGTATATATTGTACAGTACCTTCTGTTTCTGTTATGTTTATTTTACAAATGGCTTCCAAAGTAACACAATACTCGCAGAGTTCAGATTTCTACAAGCATAAAAATATTAAAGAAAAATATAAGTAAATAAAAAATAACTACACTTCCTGGATGTTGTAACTTTTTTTACTTTATTTTGAAGTGATATTTAATTGTAATGATTTAAAATACAGTTTACTATAGACTTACTTTTATACTGCATTTTCTGTTCAGCATTACTGCATCTTCGTCTTTCTCTCCGCATTCAGTTTTAGAAGAAATGTCTCTTATTTTATGTTGATGACGAGAAATGTCATAATTGATGTTCGCATCCGCTTCTTTGCTTTTGATATAACGCTCTTTTATATCGGGTGGAGCCATTCGAATATTACTATTTTGAGGTGAATAAATGATGAGGAACACGAGGACAATCAAGAAGAGCAGCAGGTTCAGAAGGTAGAGTATTTTTATTTGTATTCGATAGTCTTTTTTTTAATATTCTCCATAGTGCTAAGAAACAAATATCATTATTTAACACAAAAGCTTTATTATTAAATATACGTCTGAAAAAATTAAACATACACATAAAAGTATAACAATAAAATTACATGTAAATTGCCTAAGGTAAGAAATAAAGCCATTTAAATATCTACAAGGAACAGTGTGTAGTTATTGCTCATTCTTTACAACTGAAAGGTTTACGTATGCAAAAAAAGTGACACCACTGATCGTAATGTTGGAGGGATGTATGACAAAATCCTCGAATGCTATTACGCATTTTAATCTTTATTTAAAATAACAGTACCGAAGTTTTTGAAAGCTTTAATAAAAGTATGGCTGATTATACTAATGAGTTTTGAGTTTAAACTTTTAATATCAATTTATAAATTAGTGAGAAACTTCTAAAGTTTAGGAAACCAACAGAAGAAATATCTCTAATATACAGTATTTTCTTCGATAAAACAAATAAATTTAAATATTAACAATTTATATTTTGAAGTAAACTCAATACAAAGTTAACAAACAGTGGGCTTACCCAACCATTTACAATGATATTTATTTCTTACGTTTAAAATTTAAAAAAATGTCATTATTTATCATTAAAAAAACATGCTGAAAGGACTCGAAAAATATTTATTTCGATCGAATTTATAAAATTGTTTTATAGAAAACGAATACTTACCAACTTGTTTTCGTGTTGAACTTCAACTCTTTCCGATTCTGCTTCCAATTTTAATTGACCTAATCACCAATTTCCTTTCGTTTTATATTTCTGATAAAGATTCCATCTCACGGAAGTATTAACTCGAAATTTAAAATTGAAAGTAAATGTAAAGATAAATTATTAATTACAATTTAAAACCATTTTAAATCAGTTGGAGCACAAGTAGGAATGTTTGGAACCTGTCACTCGTGTCTTCTTGTGGCAATACACAGCCTTTGTTTTGTATTATTTTTGTAAAATGATTTTGCTAAATAATACAATTTTAATGTGCTTTTTTAATTTCTACTTACTGCTAGACTCAAATTTTATATGAGGACGTAAAACTTCGTACTGCTCCAATGAAAGAATGTAACTGCAAACAACTTTAGAGTCATTTCGAGTTTATTATAAACCCTTGTGTTCAATATATTTCAAACGTAGTCATTTTATAAAAGCATTAGCCAAGATTTGGAGAAGAACGGCCGATTTTCTACGGCAGGGACGTTCACTTCCTTTTCCTCCCTACATATAATTTGAGTGTATATAGCAGAATGTTATATAATTTTCTTTTGTATTTTCTCGGTAGTTGTATGTATCTATTTACTTGTTTTAAACCGTGTAAATAACAATAGTTATCCCAACGACAATATTTATTAAAAAGAATAAAAACCCAGTAGTTTTGCCATAATTAATATTTATTTTGTTTATAATCATAGCTATTATAATAGACATAATTTTTATTTATTTATTTAGATAAATAGTGAAAATTATAATTGATAAAAATAATGTTATTAAATCTATAGAATATTCACCTGTTCTAAGTCGGTTTTACACGTTTGGTTGTTTTGTGTGAAAAGTTACATCAATGATTTTCCATCTATTCAATTTCCACTTGGATCCAGCACAACAGAAAATTTTTTAAATGTTTCAATGCAGAAGTGTAGATTATTTTATAACAATGCGCACTCAAGTTCTTTATCTGCGAAAAATTTACTGACAAGATAATTTATCATTTATTCCTGAAGATCTACTTGTAGTGAAGATTTTGTATTGAGAATATATATACATTTGAGAAAACATTGTGAGATGAATGCACACTATTAACGCGCAGGATTTGGTGCATGCTATAGCAAGAGAATATGATGTGACACCTGCCATAGAAGTTTGAATACTGATTTATGACANTATAAAATTATAATTGATAAAAATAATATTATTGAATCTATAGAATATTTACCTGTTCTAAGTCAGTTTTACACGTTTGTTATTGCTGTTGATAATATACTTTTGGGTGAAAAGATACATCAATGCTTTTCCATACATTCAATTTCCACTTGGATCCAGCACAACATAAACATTTTTAAATGTTTCAATGCAGAATTGTACATTATTTTATAACAATTTGCTCTCAAGTTCTTTATCTGCGAAAAATTTACTGATAAAATAATTTATCTTTTATTCCTGAAAGATCTACTTGTAGCGAAGGTCGTGTATTAAGAATATATACACATTTGAGAGAACTTTGTAAGATGAACACATACTATTAAGGCGCATGCTTTCGTGCATGCTATAGCAAGAGAATATGATTTGACACGTGCCATAGAAGTTTGGAGACTGATTTATGACATGATTTTAATCCTTGTAAGAATGAACGTGAGATTTCAAAGATGGATTGACTTACGATAATCAGGATGATCTTAAAAATATAGGATTAAGAAAATCCTTTAGAATTTGGTAGAACACAATCAGACATTTCAAACATGAATATCTTCAACTTCGAATACATAAACGTGACTCTATAGCCAATGCACTATAAATTTGCAAGCTTACAATTTGCAATTATTAAGCTTTCAAATTTTACCTATTTATTTATTTAAATTTTACTTACAAATTAATACGTATAATTTGTATAAATAAAATTATAACTATAATTGTATCCATAATATAATTATATTTAACGTAAAGTTAACGGATTTGCTATGCCCCGACTTTCCTGGAATAACGAAAGAATATATAGGATCGTTTAATATCAAGCATTAATTACAAATGAATAGTAATATATGCAGTATAGCTTATAGATTATTTATGAAGTTTTAATTATTTATACTTAATAATTTAATTTTAAACGGTAATATAATTCGATACTTACTTTTTTTAACATCCGACTTTTTAATACAATTGATAAATATGGAGTATAAAATGTATACATCATTTTACAGGTAGCGCATCATAAGTAAATTGTGAGATAACCGCTAAGGATGCACCGATTAATCGGTAAATAATCGGTAATAGGCCGTATCGGCCATTTAGCCGATTAATCGGTATCGGCCATTTCCACCGATTAATCGGTTTCGATAATCGGCCAATTTTACATTTTGGTATTTTTGTTAGAATGTTACGTACAATGCTAGTAATAAAAACTAATAAATTTCTGTTATATATTTATTATTTATTACATGACAATCTGAATATTAAAAAAATTTTACTAATCAAATTATTCCTTTCATTAATACATATTATAACATAACGTATAATATAAAGTTTAAACTTTACATAAGAAAAAGTATTGAATAGGTTAAGAAGAAAAATTAAATTTTTATTTGTTTCATAAGTTTAAAGTTTAAATACAAAACAAATATAAAACAAATAAAAATTTAATATTTAAACTGTAAAACCCTTAAATTACAATTTAAGGGTTTTACAGTTTGTTTTTACAATGCAAAAACATGAGAATTTCATCATTTTCAGGGCATAACCTATTTTTTGCCGGCTCATAAATGTTACCTTCAGTGCTGAAAATTTTTTCACTTTCAATGGAAGATGCTGAGGCACTTAAATATTTCATAGCTATTTTGCTCAAATTAGGGATAAATGTAAATATGTTTCTAATTCTTGATCGAAACGTTTGTTCGTCTCTTTCGTTTTTTTTCTTT